GAGGCAAAATTTTGCGGCCGGAGCTGGTCGTAACCCAAAAAGTTCATTAACAGAAGCATTCGTAACCCGAGGTTCCACTGTATTTCAATGACCTACCAAATCATATTTTTAAAAGGAAATTCAGCTTTGTTTAGCAAAATTTTAATGTTAGCATTTTGATTATAATATCTGTTACCTGTAATGTATAAGTATATGAATACTGAATTCCTTTTTCCCTTTTCCTAGATTATTCCAGTGAGCTTATGGAGCTATCTATTGAATCAATATTGCCCCTCCTAAAAGTCAATTTACTGTTCATTAAAATTGAAAAACTGGTGATAGTTCATTGCAAAACAATGAAAACACTAAATGATTCATATTACATAAAATAATAAAACATGATAAATATATTTTTTCATTTTTGAGACTTATAAGGCTGCCAACTTGAATTGCATGACCCTGAGCAACCTACAGAATAAAAAACAATAAACAAAAACCCCCCCACCATATATAATATATAACTACAAAATATAAAATAGTGACCAAGCAATGTAACAAAACAACCAAAAGGGGACTTTCGCTCAACTGGTCCCTAAGGCCTGGGGGAACAGTCAGTTTTTAATGGTTTCCCTAAAGACCTGCAGAATTGGGGCCTGTCATATATCCCGGGAGAGATTATTCTAGAGAACAGGGGCAACCACAGAAAAGACACACTTCCTACACTGCAATAGAATAAAGTGATTAATAAAATGAACTAATTGCAGTATGACTAAAATTATTAAAAACTAACCAAAGTATAACAGCAAATTGAAAACAGTTAACCAATTATGCTTCTTTCCACCAATGCCTAAGGAAACAGAAGGGTCAAGAGTCTTACAAAAGCTAAATAAGATTGACCAGAGGGGGGAGCTCTTCCACAAGGACAAATACCACAATACAGAATGCATGCTTTCTGGGTCCCATCAAATGACACTGCTTGATGGAAAGGACTCAGAGCATGCCAGTTCTGTCAGATCTGGGGGACAAGCAGAACTTATGGGAGACAGTTTCATAAATAACCCAGCTCTGTGATAGAAAAGGTTTTATAAGTGATAGCCAGCATCTTGAATTGCACCCCAGAAGCCAATGCAGCTCACAAAGTAGTAAAGTAACATGGGTGTATTGAGGCGCACCCATAACTACCTATGGCACTGCATTTTGAACCAGTTGCAGCTTCTGAGTGGTCTCCAAGGGCAGCCCCATGTGGAGTGCATTGCAGTAATCCAAGCAGGATGTGACTAAGGCATGGCTCCCATGAGCAGAGGCTCCCAATGCAGGAATAGGCACAATTTGCACATGAGATAAAATCTGTAAAGGTTTTCCTGGCCACATACTCTTCCAGCAGGAACCACAAGTCCAGGAGGAGTCCAAATTGTGCATCAGTTCTGTTGGGGAATCCAACTAAAGATGGAGAATCCTGAGCATTGTGGGGGAACTAAAACCTACAGCCACTCAGTCTTAGTATGGTTGAACTAACACCTATCCCACTCCATCCAGTCCCTCCCAAGCTTCCAGGCACTGAGACAGAACTTGGACTGCATCATTTTCTCAACCAGGACAGAGATAATAACTTAGTATAAACAGCTAGTGATGATATTTCACCCTATGCCAGCAAATTACTTCACCTTGTGTTTCATGTCATGTGGACAGGGGTAGGGAGGGGGCAGAACCCCAAGGACCTCCACAGAGCATGTAGCTAGGGCTTAAGCTTTCCTCCCAATCAGCAGAGAGTGGAACAGACTTCAGAGGAAGCAGGAGAACCACAGCAACTCTGGGCCCACTATTCCTATCTCCCTAAATTGGTCTATTTTTTTTTTATTAAACAATTTAGAGAAAAATTGAAGAGAGCTAAAATATAAAAAGAATACAAGAGTAAATTATAAATAGTAAAGCACAAATAATTAAATAAGGGATCTAGAATGTCATGGAGATTAGTTTTCCAATACATCTTTAATTACTTAATTATTAAAAAATCACTTAAAAAAAAACTAGGACTCACTATTAAGCCTTAAGCAAAGAATATATATTAGGAACTATGGTCAATACAGTATAAATCACTGACTGAAATTATAAGCTATAATAAATTGAATTATCCCATGAAGTCAAAATACAGACTCCATATAGAGAAAAACTGAAAATCTGCATTAAGTCCAGAAATGGTTTCTAATTAGAGCTGAATTATGCATTAGATTTACTTTTAAGGTAAAAAATTATTCTGGACATCAAAACATATTCCCACAACTTGGTAAACCATTCTTCCAAGGAATCAAACCACCTTTCCAGTAAGAAGCATATTACAGTGCATTCGGAAAGTATTCAGACCCCTTCACTTTTTTCAATTTTGTTATGTTGCAGC